CTTATTAAGTATTCTCTTAGGAGATAGAGGAGAAATACAAATGAAAAAGATGTTAGCTGCAGGCGAGTGGGAGTAGTAAACACAGTATGTCATCATAGGTAATGAAGAAAGATATAAGAAGTTAAGCATGGCATCTTTCCAAGGGCTTTGTTCATCGGAACATGCTCCAGGCAGTCCCTACTGAGCAGTTAAGTAGGAAAAATAAATACAACTGGTAGCCTTTACTTAAGCATTATGTTTCCACTTCTGTCTTCTGTTGAATTTCGTAGGGAAATATAGGTATCATCACTAAGTTCTATTGATTTTTTTTATTTTGTTCTCCAAGTAAGTTTTTATTTTTTATTGTGATCTTTTATATGTAATATATTGTTAAAGGTCTTCAGATAGCTTTTAGTGTTTCTACTTGAAGAAAGTTTAAAAGTTGCTCAGAGAAAATGTTGATGAAAAGTTTAAACAAAAGGGTGTCTGTCACTGCAGACTGCATTCATATGAGGAGAAGTCCTGACACTGGTGAATGCCGGGCTCACTGCAGCGTGACGCTGGTCACACACCAGCGTGTGAAGCTCCCTTGGTCTTCAGTGTCAGTTACTCACAATTTTCTATCAAAAGACATATTGTAGGCATAGATGATTTGTAAGGAACCAAGCTAACTTAGCTGTAAACTTTTTGTGGGTTTATTTTTACTTAAAAATTGTGCTTTTTCTCATCAAAACTAATATTTAAAATAACCTGTCCACTAATTTTGAAAGAAAATAGGAGGAAGCTTTTGTGGTCAAGAAAAGTCACCTGCACAATAAACAAAAAGAAAAGTCACCTGACTTAGAACACGCATACACAGAACACTCCAGGTCATCATGAGGATGATTTTTGCTCTAAACAGAGCACCATGAAGGTGGTAAAAGTATAGATGAAGATATCAAATAATAGTAGCAGTATCCAAAACATATTAAATACCCACTGTATTCCTACTTTAAGCCTAGATAGCAGAAAAAGGACCTCCAAATTGAAACAAGAAATAGAAACACATATGACAGTAAACATCAGACATAGAACACTAATAAGACATTTAAGACATAAACAAGGTGGACTTTAACAACTTCCCTGGAAAACTGTTTTGTAAGACTTTCCTGGCTGTGGCACAAGAAGAAGCTGGCACACTGAAGAAACTAAAGCAGATAAGGGGAGAGTCTAGGGAAAGCCAGATGGCTAAAGAGTTTGCAGGGGAAAGAAAACGGAACACAGAGAAGTTGCTGGAGGTTAGCAGAACCCGCGCTCCCCCACTTCAGCTGAGTATACATCAACCCATGTGCATAGAAAGCACTGGAAGCTGGAGGATATCTAGAAGAAAGAGGGAAGCATCCCAGGTACAATGCCAAGAGTAGTACATACTCATATGTGTTACATAAAAAAAAAATTAAGATTCACACAATTTGGATAGAGAATATAGAGATGTTTTGCCTTCATTGGGGGAAAATGAGCCTTAGAGTGAACACTATACTTCTGCCCAAGAAACTTTTTTTTTTGCCTAAGAAATTTTTAACAGCAAGATTAAAAACTTCAAACAGCTTCCAGATACATCCTAGACCAAGCTACAAAATATAGGAGTACAAGTATCCAACACTCAAAAAGAAATGGCTTTTATTCAAACATGCCTGACAAAAGAGGGAAATAACCATATAACCTGATGTTAAACTAAATGAACCCCAAGATAGGGACACAAGACGTTTTATCTTTGTTGCTGTTCTTTTAGATGTACTTATAATGTACTATATTTTATTGTTGTTTCTTTGTAAGTTCTTCCCCCATGGTACAATCCCTGATGTATCTGATTCTGGTGTCCTGCATCTTGTATATACATTTTTCTAATTTTGAGAGGGGAAGGGAAATAACAAAATGTTGAAATAAGGATTCAGGATGACCCTTTATAATAATGAGATGTATAAGACACTATGTTGAAAATGAACTTTACAACTTTGGGGGAGGGAAGGGAGGAATTGGGGAGGTGGGGAGGAAAGGGCTGGTAGGGGAAAAATAAAAGAGGTTGTAATAATGCTCCATAGGAAATGGACTCATTACCTTGCTCATGTAATTGCAACCCCTCTGTACAGTATCTTTACAATAAAAATATATAAAGAAAAAAAGGAAAATATGGTACAGAATTAGGATACTAATCAATAAATTAACAACACTGAATGTTTTTAAAAGGGATTTAAAATAATTATTATAGCTGAGTTCCAAATATTTAAACAGATGCTAACCTGGAACTGGTGGCTCATATCTGGCATCCTATCTACTCAGGAGGCTGAGATCTGAGGATTGTGGTTTACAACCAGCCTGTGCAGGAAAGTCAGTGAGACTCTCATCTCTAATTAATCTCCTAAAAGCTAGAAATGGAACTGTGGGTCAAGTGTTAGAGTGCTAGCCTTAAGCAAAAATGCTCAGGAATGGTGCACAAGCCCTGAATTCAAGTCCCAAAAACACCAAAAAGAAGAAAAATATGTAAATATATAGATAATATCAATTCAATTTTTACATGAAACCCATTGTGTGAGACGAGAAATACACTGGAGAAGATTAAAGCAGATTAAGGACAATGGGAGAAAAATTAGCGAACTAGAAAGGACATCAATGTAACTTTCCAAAATGAAAATCTAAAAGAAGAGAAAAATCACATCAACAGAGCATTACTGAGCTATAGGAATGGCACAGGGTGAAAGAAGTTAATAGATATGTAATTGAGGTCAAAGATAATGTAGATGAAAAACTATCTGAAAAAATTAATTATATTTTTTCAAATTGATTGAAACTATAAGCCCACAGATTTATGAAGCTTGGTGCCCCTCAAATGCCCACTATATTTCTACTTTCAGCCTAGATAGAGTGCAAAGGACATTCAAATTGAGAGAAGAAATAGAAAACTGTATGAGAGTAGACATCAGTCTTTGAACTTCAGTATGAAGACACTATTCCAAGGCACACAGATAAAATTGGTCAGAACTAAAGATACAGGGAAAAATCCTACAAGCAACAACTCTAAAAACAGAACAAAATAAAACTACCCATATTTCATTCATGGGAAGGAAGATAAGAATTACAGCAGATGTCTTTTTGTCAAAAATAATGCAAATGAGGAGGTACTGCAGCAACATGTTTAAGCTCCCAGAGAAAAGTTATTTTAAGTCTCTTCAATGCCTTTCCAATGAAGGTTAAATAAAGATGACATCAAATATACAAGCCCAAAGAAGTTATGGCTAGCAATAAAGTCATTCAGGCAGCAGGAAAATGGTTCCAGATGGAAATATGTTCCTATAAAAATCCACAAAGAACAAGAAAACAGATAAACAAGAGAGTAATAAGAAATTTTTTCTTATTATCTAAGTATATTTTAAGGGACATTAACTCTGAAACAAATGATAGCAATGTACAGTGAGGTTTATAAGAATTGTACTTGTAAACCAAGAAAGAATAACTAGGGGAGAAGAAGCAATATTAAAGTGTGGTGTTGGCAGGTAACACACTGTGAGAAGCAACACACCTTGCATACCCCTCATCACCAAAGAAACAAATTTTCTTTGTGTGTGTATGTGGGAGGGGGTACTGAGAATTGAACTCAGGTCCTCCCATTTGCTAGGCAAGTGTTCTACTACTTGATGCCTGCTTCCAGTCCTTTTGCTGTAGTTGGTTTGTCAAGATAGGGTTTCATGGTAACTTGGCTTTGAACCAAGTTACTTCTACCTCTGTCTCCTGCCTCCCAAGTAGTTTGGGTAATATGCTACCATATTCAGCTGTTTCTAAGATAAGTCTTATGTTAACTTTTGCCTGGGCTGGCTTCAAGTGACAATCCTCCTATTTCCACCTTCTGAATAGCTAGAATTACATTCATATGCCCAGATGGAAAAAATTTTTAATGCAGTTTTAGCAACTAAAAATGATTTTGTATTACAATAGTGCAGTAGCTATCCTATACTTAACATTCCACAGTTAATCAACTTACAATATAAGCAAATTGAAGTAGAAAAATGCTTTGATAATATTAATACAGAAATAGTATTTGACAAACATGTTACCCTCATTTTTCCCCACTTTCCTTCCTCCCACCTCCCCCACAGTTGTACTGATCATTTCCAACATATTGTCCTTTGTCAAGAAATGTACTTATTACCTTACTTACGTAACTGTAACTCCTTGACAATGAAAACAAAAAGGTGTCATCAAAAGAGACTCCACTGTGAGAATTACTTCTGAGCAAAGGCTAGAGGTTGGTTGAAATAAAAATACAGATATTTAGGTAATGCCAGGGTTTGACAATTCAAACTTACTTTTATGTTTTGTTATACATGTTGTTTTCTGGTAAAGGCTGCAGATGTAAAGAATGCTTCTCATTCTTCTCTTTCAATCAGCTTTGACCCATACTAAGAATTTTATTTTCAAGTCTATTTCCTATTTTATACTCAGTTAAAATGAATGGATATTATGGGACTGTCTATCAGTGAGAACAATGCAGTTTACTTTGAGGATTTCCTCCTAAGAACTAGAGAGCAACAGCATTATTCAGAGTTCCTTAGAAACACAAAATTTTATAAATTGTCAATCTCAAAATTAATCATGTATTTTCCTTAGAGTTTTTAGAATAGTCATTATAAAGATGATGTACAGAGGGATTACGGTTATCATCCCTTTCCTCTTTCTCTCCCAGTTTTTCCCTCCCTTTCCTCACCCACAAGTTGTATAGTTCATTTTCAACATAGTGCCTAGTGAGTACTACTGCTGTATTTGTTCACATGTTGGTCACTCCATTTCTGTAACCCCCTGATCTTCCCAAAGTAAGAAAAATGAAAAAAAGACCAAAACAAAAAGTATTTGTCTTATTAATCATATGAGTGTAGCCAACACATCAACTTATTTTCCATGTGAATGAATGAAGAAAGCAGTGCCTCTCCACAATATTCTGCATCGATTTTAGCGTGATTTAAACATAGAAATGCCTGCTTCTCTTCCAGATTGTGTTCCTGGCATCTGCATATGCAAGTCCCCAACTCACCGAGGAGAGCTGCGCAGCCATGGCTGCTGTCACACATTACCTGTATCTTTGCCAGTTCAGCTGGATGCTCATTCAGGTTGGTACTAGGTCCCTCCATCCTCTAATACCCTTCCATGATCTAGGTGGGGAGGTCTTAGCATCGGATATTCTTTATGCTAAAACTGAATTATTCCACATAACCAACACCCAGACTATAAAGGATTCCATATTAGATAGCAAAGTAGGATTGTAAACATGAGAGGGACAGGAGATGAAGATTGCAATGTGGACCCTATTAGGTATGGTGTAAAACTTGAGCTTTTATCTAGTGGAAAGGATAAAATTCAGCCCAAGCCCAGAACTGCAGCATTGTTTACCACAGCTAAGATATGGAACCAACCCAGAGGCCCCTCAGTAGATGAATGGATCAAGAAAATTTGGTATATAGATACAATGGAATTCTATGCCTCCATCAGAAAGAATGACATTGCCCCATTTGTTAGGAAGTGGAACTACTTGGAAAAATTTGTATTAAGTGAAGTAAGCCAGGCCCAAAGAAGCATAGGTCCCATGGTTTTCCTTATTTGCAATAACTAGTATATGTCTGAGACAAACAGAAATGGTCAGATAAGTTGATGTTAGGTGAAATGAACCCCAAGATAAGGACTCAAATGGTTTTTCTTTCTTGCTATTGTTTCTAACATATTTATAAGATGATTTCTTTGTTGCTTTGTATGTCCCTCCCCCATGGTATAACCCCTGTTTTCAGTGTATTTCATGTTGTGGAGGGGAAGGGAAAAAACAAATTGTTTAAATAGGGATACAGGTGGACCCACTGCAACAATGAGATGTACAAGACATTGTCGAAAAACGAACTTTACAACTTTGGCTGGGGGGGGGGAGGGGGAGGGGAGGGCAGGGATAGTAAGGGGAAACAAAGGAGGAGGCAACAATGCTTGATAAGAAATTACTCATTTACCTTGCTTATGTAATTGTAACCCCTCTGTATGGTATATTTACAATAAAAAAACTTATTAATAAAAATTTTTTAATAAAAAATTAAGCATCAAAAGGGATAAAAAAAGAATAAAATTCACTTAAAGGGAATGATGTAAATTTTGGAATGACATTCCTGTTGGTTGTGAGTTGGAGATAGGATAGCCTGGACAAAGGAATGAATTAAATGTCTTAGTTGTATCACATTGTGATTGACATAATCTCATGTGGCTTTCTCAGTGTGTATGTAAACTGGTTTATGTATACAGATGAATTCAACCACTTGCATATTTTTATTGTTGTTGTTGATGATAACGATGATGATGACATGGTATTTGATTTAACAAGACTAAAAGTGGTATAAGTAGAAAGAGAATGAGGTAGTATACCACACAGGCTCAAGAGAGGCGTATTTCTAAGGTAGGTTATTATAAGAGTGGATGCTGAAGAGCAGGGGAGCTGTGCTATACAGTCAACAGAACTAATTAGAACAAGCAGGGTCTAAGAGTTGAGTTTAAATTCTGGCTCTCCCACTCACTGTATAAGCCTAACTAAACAATAACTCCCTCCAAAGTTTGTTTCTAAATGTACTTAGAGGCCTAATACTCCTTGCCCATAGAAATAGCGTTTTAGAGCTCTTTGAGTGTCTCCTATCAAGAAGGATTTTTTAACTTAGCCATATAACATAAAACATATCTGCTGAATTTAAGATAAATTTTGTGGTAACAGAATGCTTTAGGAGTGTATCAATTGAAGCTACCATTTTAGCACATGGGTTGTTGTACGGTGCTTAGATTGAGGTGCAGAAGGTCTTTGTCTACCCTGGCCTATTCAGAGTTTCTGATGAACAACTTGGATGAAAAGGCAGGAAATCTTCAGATGAGAAAGCCAAAAGGTTAGTGAGCACTGCAAGCTGCCTGCATTGACATGACAGGTAGAGTCAATGTGATGAAGCTGAACAGATAGGTTACCTACTAGAATGAGAGAGCGTCATCTGATGAAATTTAATGTAAATGAGTCGAAATTTTAGTTCAGAGTAAACTAAGTAGCAATCAAACAGGGGAACAGAATACTACCTTGATTGCAATGAGGAACTGTATAGAAGTGACTGTGGTTACAATGTAATCTGTAATTAGGTCAAAGCTTAGGAAAGCAAGTTTTGATCTTTTATTACCAATGGAAGTACCAAAGTTGAAGAAACGACGTCTAGAAACAGAGTAAATCCAATCACTACAATTTATTCAAATGCCAGAGAAATGGCCAACTATCACACATGCTTAGATGGATTTCCTGCTTTTGCAACATCATTAAACAAAGTGGTAAATAAGATTTCACTCAACTTAAAGGAGATCGGTGTGTGCTCAATCTGTTCTTCCAGTCTTAGTAAATTTGATTGTGGCTGATGCACAGTGAGTAAATTAATTAGATTTCTGTATGGTTCGTGGTTTAGGAAAACTATTTAAAGTGTCAGTGAAGTTTAATGTATTTCAGATGGTGCACCACACATTTTTCATGGTTTGTGGTGCGACCGCAGGAAAAATTGCAGTAACTTCTGAATTCTAGGTAAGTTTCTTTTAATAGGTTACTTTGTGGTCAGAGGTTGCCACTTTACTAGCCTACATGTTCCCTTTTATAAGATGCTATGTGCAGACTTCCATCCCGTTTTCCGTACGGGGAAGACCCGCCGCTGGTGGCGTGGAGCATTTTCTGGGCGGTTTTCCACACTTCGAATAAGGCCCCCCCCTCCCCCCCAGTTACACGTGAGCAGACGAGTCGCAAAGGAGAGTTAAAGGATTTGACCCAAACATGGATATCAGACCAAATCATACAATTTATATCAACAATATGAATGACAAAATTAAAAAAGAAGAATTGAAGAGATCCTTGTATGCCCTATTTTCTCAGTTTGGGCATGTGGTAGATATCGTGGCTCTGAAGACTGAAGATGAGAGAGGCCTTTGTTATATTTAAGGAACTGGGCTCCTCTACAAATGCTTTGCGACAGTTACAAGGATTTCCATTTTATGTCAAACCAATGAGAATCCAATATGCTAAAACAGATTCTGATATAATATCTAAAATGCGTGGTACTTTTGCTGACAAAGAAAAGAAAAAGGAAAAAAAGAAAGCTAAAACTGTGGAGCAGGCTGCAACAACTGCAAACAAAAAGCCTGGACAGGGAACACTAAATTCAGCTAGTTCCCAAGGAAATTCAACACCAAATCCTCAGGTCCCTGATTACCCTCCAAACTATATTTTATTCCTTAATAACTTACCAGAAGAGACTAATGAGATGATGCTGTCCATGCTGTTCAATCAGTTCCCTGGTTTCAAGGAAGTCCGTCTGGTACCTGGGAGGCATGACATTGCTTTTGTTGAATTTGAAAATGATGGGCAGGCCGGAGCTGCCAGGGATGCTTTGCAAGGTTTCAAGATCACACCGTCCCATGCCATGAAGATCACCTATGCCAAGAAATAACATTTGGGCTAGTCTTCCTTAAAGGACTTGACACTATTTGTAGTGTTTGTTTTGATAACATTTGGTCAGGTCATTTAAAGTTGAAGTTGAAAGGACTGAAAGTGAAATTGTTGTGACATTTTAAAAAAATCATCCAGTTTTTCTTTAGCTTCAGTTAACTGTGAAATATTAAGGCCTTAATTTTGTACAATAAACTTATGTGTATCCTAAAAAAAAAAGATGCTGTGTGCCAAACATTTTTCAAGCTGAAAAATCTATTTTTAAACATTATGTATTAGGTTGGACTACTGTTAACCCAATCTTATTAGTCAAATTTGCTTGAATTATTTTAAGGAATACTAATACTTGAATGGTTCATATTTTATAGTATTAGAGGATAGAATCTGACATTATGTTTATGTTCACATAGCTTGTAAGGATAATAAGTTAATCATTAATTTTGAGTCATTGGGTTATGCATGCTAGAATTTTTGTTTACATTTGCATCATGTATTAACTCTTAAAATAAAAGCTCTTTATTTTGGAAAGTTATTTTGTTGTCTCAGCTGTAAATACTTTAGAAAACATTTGAAGATATTTTAGAGGAGCTAAAGTGACCAAGCTGCATTAGGTAAATTTTCTTATCAGACATGACAGCAGCAATAACAGTACCTTTCTGTGCAAACTGGAAAGATCAAATGAATTAATACATGGAGGAAGCTAAAGGTGGTGTCTTGCTCAGAAATCTTGCACACTCTACACAGTTTTTCATTGCTTAGGGTAAATAATATAGAAGGGATCTGAAAATGTAGTCTGTTTTTCTAGTATAGTTACTATATTTTTTTTGTTAAAAAAAAAAGTCCGATGGAAGTGGTGGAAAGACAGCTGACTGAGTGGAACACATGTTGCAAATCCTTAAGCAGCTGGATAATCTCTCTGCTCTTTATGAAAGCCCTTGCACAGTGTATACAGACTACATAACTAGCAGACTTGATTCTATTTCCTCAGTTTCCTCTTTCCTTTGACAGAGAAATTATTCAGTACATGGTGGGAATGGAGTAACTAAATATTTTGCTTATTTTGTTTTAAAGCAAACAACTTACCAACTCCCCCCCGGGCCAGGAACACTGAGTTGTCCTGTTTGCAATTCATGTCACTTTACTCAGTGGCATTACGGAAACCATTTCCCATTTCCTTAAGATAGCAGGGTCATGTTTACTCCAACAAAGACTCATGAGACTTTAAAATCTTGTGTATCTCTATTTTGCCAGGTTGTTATTTTATTTTTACACCTTTCTTATGTTTTGGTTTGGTTTCGTTCTAGAGATAGCATGTGCTAATGGAACCAAACCTAAAAGCTTCAAAGAAATATAGAATAAAAGCATGTCTCTTTCCTACTTTTTCACATATTCTCTGTTTCCTGCTCTATCTGTAATGCTATGACCAAAGCTAAACATTGCTAATGGCTTCCTGTGTATCCCTCCAGAGATATGCTACAAATAGACAAAATATTTATAAATATATAAACAAACATGCATATGTGTCCTTGAATGTGTATATATTTTAGCATACTCAGGCATATGTATTTATATGTGTTTATCTAAATTTAGACATTTTAAATTCACTGTATTGAACTATACTTTTTTCCTATACTATAGCATGGCTATTGTATAATTTATTTTTGCAGTATCTGATTGATGAAATTCTGCTTCTTGCCAGTTGTTTGATGCTATTATCAACAATGCTTCTTTGAACATGCTTGTACTTTGAATATTTGCACACTCAGGGAGTATTCAGATAACTAGTTCCTAGACATTGTGTTAATGCTTGTATAAAAAGATCTTTGGTTGGTTTATAAGATTATGAGTGAATCCAAGAAAGAAAACACATTATAAGTAAATTATTTGAGACATTTCATATGCAATAATCAATTAGACATATAACTTTGCCTATATATTCATATGCCTAGTTGATGACTATCTCAAAGCACCACATTAAATTGCAATCTGCTGAGAGCTTTCTGCCCTCCTTACGAAATATGATCAGATCTTAGATTTTTTCCTTTTAGTTTATTCATCTCATATCTAGAGACACTACCTAATCCAAATAAAGTTTAGTCAAAGAATACATTTTTAAGTAGCAGACTAAAGATAGAAATCTAACTTTGCAACTATGCTTGAGCATTTACATCTTAAATTCTCCATATAAACAGGCTAGGAGAAAACAAATAATCAGATTATTTCTCTATTGGGCATAAAAGCAACTCTGTGCCAGTCCATAGCAACAGGAAAAGGGAAGCTAAATTTAGCCTTGTTTTTCCTTTGTCATTGGTTTAATTTGAAGGGACATCAAAAGAATGAGGGATACCAGACTGGTAATTACTAAGATAGACACAATATAGCCAAGAAATACTGAATTCTCCATGCTTCAGAAACCATTGCAATTTATTTCATGCATGTATATATATATGCATATATATAGAGACAGACAGACAGACAGACAGAGACAGACAGACAGACAGACAGAGACAGAGAGAAGACAATGGGAACAAGGATATGTAGTAACATTTCTTACATTCACATCTGAAATGAATGATTAAGAGCATATGGTAATGGAAAGAGTTGATAGTGTTTTTGATCGCTACTGAACTTAATGGTATAAATCAATTGAAGAAGTCTATTGAAAAAATTAATAACCACATAAGAGACAGCCTATATACAAGCCTTTTTATGAAAATGTATGGAGTTCAAATAGACTAATTATTCATTAAAAAATAAAGATGACATTTCAAAAGATATGAATACACTAATGGTTTTGTGTTTATGAAATACATGAAAGCATAATTATGACCTGTGGCAATCAAAGATTTAATAAGACAGGATTTTAATTTTTCTAAAATAAAAGACAGTCGTCACTGAAAATGTTATTTTGAAAATAGTTATGTCCACATGGGAATTTTATTAAATATTCATATAGATCTAGTCTTTTCATTTATTACTCTCTCTGTTTAACCAACAGTATCTTTGAGTATTTTAATTGGTCCTTCACATCTTAAACAAAATCAGCTACGCTTCCAACAACTTCATTTGGAATTCTGGGAAATGTATTCTCTTGTCCTCAGTTTCCTCCTACAGAAGCAGAGAGACAATAATAAAACATGGCAGAAATGTTGCCTAGATCAAATGAGATACTACTTACCAGAGTTCTATCTTATTGCTCAATATTTTCTCTATTTGCATATCTCTTCATTTTGCATATTTAAAGTTTTTAAGATTCCACAGTTAATTCATGTCTGTATGTATTTAATCAAACCAAATTGCCAAATCTTCGGATTCCACAGTTAATTCATGTCTGTATGTATTTAATCAAACCAAATTGTCAAATCTTCTCAGTATTTTTTTCTGGTGTTGTACCTGTGAGACAGGTTCCCTGCCACTTGAACCATGCATCCAACCCCTTTTTGTATTGGTTATTTTCAAAGTAGCATCTCACTTTTTGCCTAAGCTATCCTGTTTATTATCCTCTCACTTGTATTTCCTCTACTCATGTCATTGGGATAATGTGTCCAGCCATTGCTTGAGATGGGTGTTTCTTGAACTTTTGTGCCTGAGCTGGCTTCAAACTGCAGTTCCCTCATTTGCACCTACCAAATAGCTAGGATTTTAGGCTTGATCTAACATGCTCAGCTTCAAATAAAAATAGACAAACAGATACATGTTTAGGATTATACCAAATTATAAAATAGTTGTTACAATTCTGGCTATATAAAACAACCTACTAAAGTTGCCAGTGGCTCACACCTGTAATCCTAGCTATTCAGGAGGCTGAGATCTGAGGATCATGGTTCAAAGCCAGCCTGGGCAGGGAAATCCTTGAGACTCTTATCTCCAATAAACCACCAAAAAACCAGAAGTGGTTCTGTGGCTCAAGTGGTAGAATGCTAGCCTTGAGCTGAAGAGCTGAGGGACAGGACCCAGGCCCAGAGTTCAAGCCCATTACAGATCAAAAATAAACAACAACAAAAAAAATCTACTGAAGTTTTTCACTTTATGTGCTAGTTACACAAAAATCAATCTGTCACTGCTTATAATTAACTTTCAGCTATTTATGTTCCAGTAAACTTTTTAAAATTTCCATTACATGTTAAGGAGAGTATGAATGAGGAGAAATGGTATCTGCATATGTACTTCTGCCAAGAAAATGCATCTCTAGTTACATATGAAGTGCAAAGGGAGGACAAGAAATGAACTCATTTATATAAGAATCTCCACAACATTATATGAATTTCTATGGAAATACATGTTAAACTAAATTAGGCTTCATGTAATCCTACATACCTAGGAGGCATATATCTGGAGGATTTTGAGATTCAATGCTGAAAATACAGGAGAGTCCATCGCTAAAATAACTAGCAAGAAACTAAGTTGGAGGTATGGCTCAAATGGTGGAGTGCCAGTCCCTAACAAGCCAAACATGCACAGAAAGGAAGAAAGAAGAAAAAGGAAGAAAGGAAGGAAGCAAGCAAGCGAGGAAAGAAGGAAGGAAGGAAGGAAGGAAGGAAGGAAGAAAGAAAGAAAGAAAGGACAAAAAGAAAAGAAGAAAGAAAATATTGGTCTGTGAGGGTGCTTTGACTGTGTTCTGCTCTCAACTAAATGAGAAACCCAAGTTCTTCCCTTCTTGCCTGTTTCTTCATCTCTAAATAAGAAGACATGGTTGTGAAATGTGCAAGGTCTGTATTGATACATTATAGACCGCATATCATTGCCATTCATATTTTCACTCAAGTAGTCATAATTTCCACAATAATTCAAACACATATCTGGAAATTAACACCTTATAGTTCAACCTACTTTATATTAGAACATTGGAACCCAAAGGAGCCAAATTATATTAGTTATCAGTTATTTCAAAAGAAAAATCCACTTCTTAATCAATACATCTTATCAAATTTATATAGTTTTTTTCAAAAACCAACATATTATGTAGTGTTCACATAATTTATTCTTCATCAGTATGTTTATCTTGGGGTGGTCTTTGCGAATCCTCCTTTGTGTAGATTCACTCTTTCCTGGGAAAAATCTCAGAAATACATAGTTTTCCTTATGTGTATTAAAATTGACTTTTAAATTCTCCAAGTACCAACAGTTAACCAAATATACCAACTAGTCTATCTTCATATATTGGTAATTGTAGTAAGTTTACAAAATCATGTACATCATCCTTTACTGATGAGTAATAATGAAAATAAGAAGATGAGAAATAATGAGAATGATGTTGATTTAGAGTTGATATTAAAGATGTGTCTTAACCAACAGTGTCCCTGCTTTTTGTACCTCTGGGTTTCTAAACTTCAGTTTTGTTGTTGTACCTTTCCAAATGGTCTGTGGTGTGATTTGAATCTTTTTGGACTTGTCTTCTGTGATTGTTCCAGACTAGTTTGAATAATCTTAAGGCTAGATAGCTTGGTATTTTGAATGTATATGAATTATAGAAACACCCAAGTCAGTTTACTATACCTCGTAAATTTTTGATAACATTTTAGCAAAAAGTATAACATGAGTACATGGTGATATCAGCTGGTCTTGAGATGGCTCAGCTTTAACAAATTCTAACAAGATTTTTTAAAGTTTAGAGGTAGAAATATAAATAGGGACTTAGATATTCATTTTTCAGATCACATTTTATTTTTAGCAGAAAAAAATTCAAGATAGACAATGAGCAGAAAGTCACGCTTAGCTACACATAGCATGCTTGAGTGAGGCTGATGGATACCCTTCATTACATTATGTCAAAGCATACAGACACTAAGATTCATGGGGCACTTGTATCAGTCAACATGAAACCACTGTGCAAACATGGTGATTTTTAATGATCTCAAGTGAGATTACAAAGGAAAAGGAAGCCTTGAACTTGGGCATAGGAAGAAAGTCAATATTCTGTCATTTTTGTTTTTAAGAGTGGGAGTGACTAGAGATTGTTCACCCCACTTCTTCAAGATTGCATGTTGATCTCTGTCAAATGTTTTTGGAAAACGAATAAGTAAGTTGAGCTAACTTAAACATACATTGGAAGTATGAAAGAATGGGGCTGGGAAGGAGGCTCATGCTTTGCATGCATGAGGCCCTGGGTTCGATTCCTCAGCACCACATAAGCAGAAAAAGCCAGAAGTGGTGCTGTGGCTCAAGTGGGAGAACACTCACCTTGAGCTGAAGAGCTGAGGGAAAGCGTCCAGGCCCAGAGTTCAAGCCCCACAACCGACCCAAGAAAAAGAAAAAGAAAAGAAAGTATGAAAGAAATACTAAATATATAATATAACTGATTAAACCCCCAGAACTTCCAGTGCAGTTTTACCTCAGGAGGGCCTGTGAGTGAATAGAAAAGGAAGTTGCATGTCCACTCTATATTTTCTTTTTTTCCCACTCTATACTTTCTATCCTCACTGTGCTGGGATTACAACAACCATACAACTCTTAAATCCTCTTATTCCAGTTGATCAACCTAGACTATCACAGAACTACAAGGACATAAGTAATAAAAGATTGGCTCATCATGGGTTGGTGTTCTCAAGTCTGCTGTGGCAAGTGAGTCCCAACCATGAGGCTCACAGCTTCTGGGATCATTCTGCCTGTGTTGGGGAAAATTCTAGGAATAGCTTTAGAAAAGGGCAACTCAAGGTCTAGGAAGTATACCTTACTATAGTTGCATAAAGTTGAAGTAAATTTTGAAATAAATTAGTCCGAACAAGTCTTATATGTACGCTACTTAGTATTTCTAGAAGAACTAAGTGTTGTTTTGTTGAATAGTATTTCCCTTGCATAGCCTATACTTGATACAGAAAGCAAAATGTTGCTCTTTGAGTGTACTTCTGTTATGCAGGATTTAATTTATTTATTTATTCAATTAGCAACAGCTTACAGGACATTTGGAGCTTATTTTGCTTTGTAGTGAAGAATCAGTCTCACTGAAGAAGATGATATATATAAAACTAACAATTATACTTCCCTTAATCTTATCTGAGCCTTTGGTAAAATTAGATGGTGGCTAAAAGGCTCAGTTTCTCTAACTAATGGAGCTCCTGTCTATGCCAGACAATTTGAAAATATCTCAAATCATATACCCATCACTTGACTCGAAAATCATTTACCAATCTACCCTTTCCTCTCTGCGTTTTCCCCATCACATGCTTGATAGTACCATGCACCACTGATGCACACAAACAGCTACTTAATGTAAATAATCAGTATTTATATTTCAAAGATGGGTTAATCAGTGATCCTTGTTTTGTGCAATTTTACCTCCCCTAACAGGCCGTCTAACGAGCTCAGCATCAGACAGTTGGAGCGTCCCACTTGTTTGGGTCCAAATATCTATGGCAGATCTAGGGGGAAAAAAAAGAATCTTTTGAACCCACTGTTTTTTTTTAAAGGAGCTAGAACAAATTTACATGAGCAACAATTCAAAACATGCTTTATAATTACAGATGTAAGCAGATAAAGAGTGTTGACAGGACGTAAAATCAAAGACAGAAATCTCTAAGTAACCAACTACTTTTAACCTTCCCTCACTTAGCCTAATGCTAATCCCTCAAGGCTAATTTAGTCCAGATAGAATCTTATTTCGAAGCCTCCACAAACAACAGCTAAAAGTCTTCCCACGAACATTAGGCATGCTTATGTTTCACATGGAAAAAGTTTCCATTGTATCACTGTTTGGTTTTGGTCTTCTGTGATTTGTCTTTATGTCGCATCCTCATTGGACATTTTAGGAAAGTAGTCCCATTGTCTACAGATGGTTAGTATTTTACATGCCATCTTTAACTTTATTTCATAAACATAAGCGTTTAGTATTTTACACATCATATTTAATCTTTACATTGCCATTGTTGTACACAGAAAGAAACCAAGGCCATGGAACTGCTATTTATTAATATTATCTTCTTAATGTAATTGTGTATATAAAATTTCTACATTTCTACTCATAGTCCACCATGTTCCAAGTGATCTATTACTGCATAAACTATGTCCAATGTAACATTCAATATCATTACTGTACTAAATGAAAATTAAATACAAGCATTCTTTCATGGAAAGGAAACACTAACAGACAGATTTTGGAAGCCTACATTGGTCTTCATTATGAGCCAATAATAAGATTTACAGGTTTCAGATGCCTTATTCCATCCATCTACCAGATCTGTCTCCATGTGCTTGTCACTCCCTGTGAACTTGTCCTTTGTGTATTTTTATCTTCATAAGACCTAGAAGATATTGTATTTACTGTAAAATAAATATTGGGCCCACAAAATTTGGAATCTAAGATTCAGAATAGTAAATCTCTCCTCCATCTCTTTCACAGCTAAGGCCTTTGAGGCTAGACAGCTTTCTGAAATTTACTAAGCAATCAACAGATGTTTGACACATAAATGAATATAAAAGAGAGTTAAAAGAAAGAAAGAAATCAAGCCACAAATCCTACCCCTAATAATACTATCCTCTGTGTACAATCATGTTCTATACTCCTACTTGAGACAGCCCACGGCTCACTTTACAAGCATGTCCCTAATCACCAGAATGGTGTCTGCTCCTTCCCTATGTTCGATTCTATGTACAAAACTGTCTGAAAACCTGGGCTTGCTTGCTTCATTATCACCACAAGCATGAAGTTGGTTTACCTAGAAAGTTGGTTTGAGCCGGGCGCTGGTGGCTCACGCTTGTAATCCTAGCTACTCAGGAGGCTGAGATCTGAGGATCGCGGTTCAAAGCCAGCCCAGGCAGGAGAGACCGTGAGACTATCTCCAATAAACCACCAGAAAACCGGAAGTGGCGCTGTAGCTCAAGTGGTAGAGCGCTCGCCTTGAGCTGAAGAGCTGAGGGACAGTGCTCAGGCCCAGAGTTCAAGCCCCACGACCGACAAAAAAAAAAAAAAGAAAGTTGGTTTGAATATCAAGCTGTCTTTCTTCAAGGATAGATCTATACAACAATTATAGGAGATTATATGAGTAAATAGTAAATGAAAGCAAATGAAAGAAAATAAAATCTATAGTTCAGAAAAAGTGAACATTTCTCTAGGTTTGAAGACTCGTGTAGGGTTCTGGATTTCCTGAGCACAGGAAAGAGTGAATGTGTGAATTAATGAAAAGCAATTCAATCAAAACTCTAATTATTAAGTAGATCCTAAACCAGATGAGACTGAGTCCTGTGTCATTAATCTGAGTCTGTTCACTTTGTGCTTCCTTCCTTAGTCTGTGAATTTCTGGTATGTGCTGGTGATGAATGATGAGCACACAGAGAGGCGATATCTGCTGTTTTTCCTTTTGAGTTGGGGACTGCCATCTCTTGTGGTGATTCTCCTTATCATTATATTGAGAGGAATCTATCATCAAAACATGCCACAGATCTACGGACTTGTTCATGGTGACCTGTAAGTACATTGAGGCAGCATCATGCCTCCTTAGCCCCTTTGTATCTCAGCAGCTTTGCTGGATGGAAGGCAGTTGCCTACGACTTCTGACCTCAGGCCTTTGAGAAAGATGATTGATCTCTTGGCACACTGTCTGGAGCTGTCCTTCCTCCTCTCCCTCCTTTAAAGAAGAATTTATGGTTCTTAAATAGCTTTGGTAATTTCAATTATTTTCAAGTGGGTTAGGGTATTCAACAGTTCATATAATTTGTATCTAAGCCTAATTTAATTTATTAGATGGAGGTAGACAATCATGTCTAGAAAAGTCAAAGCTGTAATAAATTTTTGGTAAGGAGTTTGGCATATTATCTAAGGAATATGTTTTCTGGAAGAGACCTGTTAATGGTAAGATACCTAAAGACAGCATCTGAGTGAATGCAGTGACTGAAAGTTCATGGCAATGAGATATATCTTCCTAAATATTCCCATTGAAGTATTTCTAGTAATAGAAAATTTAGCACTTCTTCACATACACGTCCCATATGTCTGGCTCAATCTTGAATCTGGTGTTTTATAGATCTGAAAGTTACTCAGCTTTTGTATTGATGCCATGTGAAGGAGAAACAAATCCAAACTTTGGTAGCAAAAAATAGAAGCTTAACCAGGTCTCTTGATCTAATGAAAATAAGAGAACAAATGAAGTTCTAAATAGGAATGAGTAGCCTATTTACAATCTTATTAGGACAATATTATTTATGTGTTTCACAGCTTATTGTTAAGGGAAAAAATTAAATAGATGCAAAACATCTTTGAAAGGTAAACTACTATATAAGCAGAAGTTATTCAATAGGATTATTGCATATGACTAATTATATAATTAAGTACTTATATACCTAAATACTTCTTATTGATGCTTACCAGTGTATTTCACACATATGCCATCACAGACAAATAATCCACACCACATTCAGACAATGGAGACTAGTTACAAGACTTACATTCAAACACACACACACACACACACACACACACACACACACACACACACACACACACACATACTGATAAGATAGAGTCCTTTTGTTTTATTGAGATTTAAGGTGATTCTCTGTTCTCTCATACTGAACATTTTATAGTACTATGACATATTTTGTCCAGGTAAAATTCTGGAAACCTCTAATCTTCTGGAAAAGGATAATAGTGTCTTATCTGAATTAAATTTTTCAAGTTATGCACCAATGGTTCATACTTATAATCCTAGATAATTTGGAGGCAGAAAAGGGAAGGTTCTTGGTTAGAAGCCAGGCCAGAAAAAATAAATAAATAAAAAGCTCAATCTACGGCTCAACCAATAGCTTCAGGTCATGAGGTAGTGGAACACAGCTGTCATCCTAGCTATACGAAGGACATAAATATGTAGATCTAGATCCAGGCATGTGCGGGTGCAAAAATAAGATCTTATCAAAAAAAAATAAACCAAAAGTAAAAAAACAAAAAACAATGATGCAAGAAAGGGCTGGAGTAGCTCAGTAATAGGGCACCTGCCTAACAGGTATGAATCTTGGAGTTCTAACCCCAGTGCTGCAAATAAACCAACAAATAGTTAAATTTGTTACTAATTTAAATCTTGGGCTGCTAGGATTGATTTCAGAAAAACTTTGCATGATTCTCTGTTGAAGTAATTTGAGAAAAGTTGTGGTGATATGCTCAATCCTATCTTGTAGTATTTATGACTGTGCACAGTATTTTAATAGCTCAACTTTTAAGTAGCAGATATTTTGTCATTATTATGAATTCCCTTTGAGTAAGAGATTCTTTTCTTTTTTATGTTTCTTGTTTGTTTATTTTTTTATTGTGAAAATACCATACAGAGGGGTTACAATTACATGAGCAAGGTAATGAGTGCATTTCTTATCAAGCATTCTTGCCTCCTCCTTTCTTTCCCCTTACCATCCCTTCCCATCTCCCCCTTGGCTGTCCTCCCCCCTGCCATCCCCTCCTATCCCCTCTCCCCTCCACTCACCAAAATTGTAAAGTTTGTTTTTCAACATAACGTCTTGTACATATTGTTGCAATGGGTCCACCTGTATCCCTATTTAAACTATTTGTTTTTTCCCTTTCCCTCCACAAATCATACCAACATCAAATACAGTGAATACAGGGGTTATACCAAGGGGGAGGGATATACAAATCAACAAAGAAATATCTTATAAATATATTAGAAACAAAAGCAAGAAAGAAAAAAATTATACACTAATATGTGAACATGAGTTTTCCATTGCTTTAGTGAAATTTAAGGTTATGTTGATTTTATAAAAGCATTAGGAAAGCTGGGCACTGGTGGCTCATGCCTATAATCCTAGCTACTCAAGAGGCTAAGATCTGAGGATCACGGTTCAAAGCCAGCCCAGGCAGGAAAGTCCGTGAGACTCTAATCTCCAATAAAGCCATCAGAAAAAAAAGGAAGTGGCACTGTGGCTCAAGTGGTAGAGCACTACCCTTGAGCTGAAGAGCTGAGGGACAGTGCCTAGGCCCAGAGTGCAACCCCCACAACTGACAAAAAAAAAAGAGTCAGGAAATCTAATATTCTTTCTTATTACTTTGAAGAGTACACAAATGAAGAACGACTTCTGTAAGATTTTTTTTCAGGAAGGCTTTTAAATCACACATTCATTTTCTTAAAACATGTGTAATTATTCACATTTTCTATTTCGCGTTATCCATTTTCTAAATCTTTGATGAAATCCATCCTGTTTTTTAAGCAAGCTTTTAACGTTTGTAACATCTGTGGTGAAACCAGCTTTTTCTTTCATTTTTGTGGTACTGAGGTTTTGAACTTAGCCTCTCACATTGGCTATATAGGTGCTCTGCCCCTTGAATCAGTACCTCAACCCTTTTTGCTTTTGTTCATGTACTGACAGGATAGTATGCTTTGCCCAGGCTTAGATTATAGTCCTCCAGTTACCCCTTTCATGTAGCTGTGATGATAACCACACACTATCATGGCCAGCTTATTGGTTAAGATGTAGTTTCACCCACATTTTACCCAGGCTGGCCTTGAACCTTGTTGCTCTTGAAATCTGTCTCCTAAGTTTCTGGAAAGCAGGCTTGCTAGACATTGATCAACATTATTTTTCCCTAAAACCTACCTTAAGTGCAGTCTTATACATTTGTTTACAATTTTATCAGTTCCTATCCTCATCTTTTCAATTCTGTTAATTTTAATGTCTGAGTTAATTTTCTGTTGTCTAATGCAGAGAGTTTTATAATAATTTCTTTTCTTATTGCATATTTTGGAATACATTTCATGATAATTCAATTAAAATATATAATTTTCACTGAGATTTCCTTGGTTGACACATAAATTGCTTAAACATATACCACTTAACTTTATTGCTGAATGAAAATACCAAATTATGAGTATGCTCGGGTAAAATATACAGATTGTATCTGTGTGCTCTGTGTTCCTAATTTTCATGTATTGTTTTCATTTAAATACAAATATGACTTACTTTTTGGTACTTTTATTACTTTCCAAGCAATGTTTTATTTCATCTTTCTATTATATTTATTCTACATTATTTTAACCACCATAGAACATTGCTATTGTTCTTTCATACCATAAATATTGAGAGTTATACTACTTTGTTCCTCTCTACTTAATTTAGTATCTTTATATTTTCTTGTGAAACTATATATTTTTATTTCTGCAATACTAATTTTCAACACAAATTTCCTGGTGACAGATTCTGTTTTGATCAGCTAGAAATGTTTCTACTGCTTGACTTTTGAAAGTTGGAATGCTACCTGGAAGTATATACTTTCACTAAGACATACTACTCTTAGCTGGGTGCTAGAGGCTCACACCTGTAATCCTAACTACTCAGGAGGCTGAGAGCTGAGGATCGAGATTCAAAGCCAGCCAGGAGACTCTTCTCTCCAATTAGCTACCAGAAAGCTGAAAGTAGAGCTAGCTCAATTGGTAAAGTGCTAGCCTTGAACTGCTCCCAGGCACTGAGTTCAAGTTACATGACTGGCACACACACACACACACACACCACAAACACTACTACTCTTGTATTCTAGCTTTCATCGTTTCTCTTAAGAAGTTAGCTATCATTCTTGTCTTCCTTTCTTTGAAAGTAACACATCTTTTTACCCACCCTAACTTCTATTTTAAATTTTAAATTTCACAGAGTCTAGATGAGATGACCTTCTGTGTGTTTAGCCCTCTGGAAATTTTTAGTACTTCATAAAGTTGTGATTTAATGGTTCTCATTTGTTTTAGAAAAATTGATGATTCTAAGTACTGGTAGCTTCCTTTTCCCCTTTTAAAATTGTAACTAAGTGACGAATATAACCATTTTATATACGTTCGATGTATTTTTACATAATTTCTATGTATCTTTTGTATATAAAATGTAAATTTTTTCTACTTCAACAAGTAGAAAGTTGAGATTTTCCAGCACACTGATCTATTCTTCAGCTTTGTCCAACATCCTATTTAAATTTTAACTTCAAGTACCACATTTAAAATTTTGGTTTTTTAAACTATTCTCTGGGGGGAAAAAACTAGTATCTTCTCATTTCTTTATTTATTTTCTTTCTTTCTTTTTTTTTTTTTTTTTTTTGGTCAGTCAGGGAGCTTGAACTCTGGGCCTGGGTGCTGTCCCTCATCTCTTCAGCTCATGGCTGGCGCTCTACAACTTGAGTCACAGCACCACTTCTGATTTCCTGGTGGTTAATTGGAGATAAGAGTCTCACAGACAGTTCTGCCTGGGCTGGATTTAAACCATGATCCTCAGATCACAGCCTCCTGAGTAGCTAGGATTATAGGCGTGAGCCAACAGCGTAAGGCTTTGTCATTTCTTTTATTTAAAAATGTACTGTTCCCTCTAATCTCTGGGGAGCTATTTCCAAGGTCCTCCATGGATGTCCAGCACAGTTTATAGGAGCAAATCTTAATGTATGCCATTTTCTATACACACATTCTTGTGATGATGGTTAGCTTATAAATTAGG